TATGCACTCAGCTTGCAGCCCGTATAGGCAAAGACAAAGTGAATCAGATCCTCACGGTCTTTGCTGACGACCACTTTGCAGCTGACAGCTTCCATAGCATACCGGAATTTGAGGCACTCCTTGACTGTATCGTTGCTCTGTTCAGCACTCTGGAAGCTTTCGGCATGGAGGTCAGTGATGCCAAGTCCAAGGCAGTCCTGATCCTACGGGGCATCCTAAGCAACACCATCACCCGTCGATATGTCCGCAAGGTCCCTGGGGGCAGAGTTCTACGCATCCAGCTACGAAGTCGAGTCTTGGCCATCCCCTTAGTCTCGCAATTCACGTACCTTGGTGCACAGGTTAGCTATCAGGCTTTTGAGAACCAAACTCTACAGTACCGGCTAGAAAAAGGCATTGCCACCTACAACCGCCTTGGTTCTGTCCTCAAAGGGCGGCATCATCTGACTGCTGCTCAGAGAGTTGACCTATGGAGATCCTGTGTTTGGAGCAGTATCTCCTATGCTCTGCCAGCCTGTGGCCTTACACCATCAGGTCACAAAACTTTGGAGACTGCTGTGATCAAGCACCTCCGTGCCATCCTCAGGAGCCCAGTCCACCTCACCTTCACAACTAATGCTGACATAGCTCAACAGGCGGGTCTTGAACTGCCACACCTTATGCTGCAGAGACTCCTCAAGAAGGAGGCCCATCGCAAATCTAGTGCATCCACACCGACTGATGCCTTAATATGCGGGCCTACTGACCCATGGTGGCGGCAGGTTGAGGCAAGCCTTCAGCCACCACCTGAGTCATCTGCAATCCAAGTGCCAACCTTGAGTGTGTCCAAATGCATTTGTCCAGTATGTGGCATCGGCTATGCCCTACGCTCTGCACTGCTAACTCACGTGGCCAAACAACATCCTGAAAGTCTGCTGGAACTTGAGCATCCCACATTCAATCGGGCAACCGACGCCATAGGAGGAATGCCCCAGTGTGCGGCATGCGGAAAACGGTTTCCCACTTGGCAGCTTCTGCAGAGGCATGTGGAAGGCAATTACTGTGCAGCAAAACATGCTTTATTACCTGTTGCGCCCGTCGAGCCGATTGTGCCAGCATCCCAGAGACCTGCACTCTTTGCTGAACCACCATGGCCAGACTTAGTCCGACAGTCTGAATCCCGAGCTATCTTTCATTTCACAGACACTGACGTCTATCTTCAGCATTGTCTGGTCTGTGGACAGTGGGTTGCCTCGCATAAAGCCATGAAACTGCATTACCGTCGTACACATGCTGAGCTCTTCCGATTACACAATGATGCTGCTCACAAACTGTGTCAGTCATATCCCCGCTGTAGCTCCCCCTGCCACTTCTGTAAGGCTAAGCTTGCACAGCCGAGGGCACACAACACCCAATGCACCGTTCTGTGGCAGTTCTGCATTAGCTATACAGCTGCACGAAATCATGGCGGACCAGCAGATCCTGGAGATCTTCGGGCCAGTGGCCATGGAGGGAGCCGGCAAACTGGCCAATCTGCTCACGGAGGATACATTGTCGGACAACGACCGTCCACACAAGCACTCCAAAACAGACAAGCGCCAGAGGGCACCCTATGGCGAGCCTTCAGGCTGGGGATTCGGTCCTCGCTACACAAAACAGAACCGGCAGGATCGTCAGGACAAGGAGGCGGCTTTGATCAAGGCAATGGGCAGGTTGGTCATCCGCCAAGAGACCCGGCTGCAGATCCTGAAGCAAAACTCTGCCTGGACCCTCTACTTGAAACCGGGCCAGACAGGTCCAATGCCGATTCTGTTCAAGACTGCAGCCACCTACCGCGAGGCCTCGAAAATCAAGTTTATGGAGGCGAGCAGTTCTGTTGAGCACCCTGTTTCAGACCTTGCTGGCATGCCTGCAGACCTTGGCCGCGCAACCGGATCAGCAAGCTCAAGCCAAAACCAAGGGATGGCTGAATGCGGAGGGAAAATGGGTATACCAACGTTGGGATCCGGAGAACCAGACTCTCAAAACCGACGAGGCCCGAGCAGTGGTGACCCACCAAGAGGTCATCAATCACGTCACCCTGTTGGTGACAGCCGTGACGGGGAAGGACGTGATCCATCGCTTCAATGCCACGAACGGCCTTCCGGCCAATCCCGAACAAGTCACGACTTTTCTCTTGGAGGTGGGATTGCGGGCCCCGGGAGTCGAGAAGGTCTGGACAGCCCTCGAATTCTTATCGAACTCGACGGCCCTACAGCTGTGCGGAATGCAACTCAAGCGGGACAGTCTCAAGCGGAGCTCGCTTGCCAACGACGTGCAGAAATTGCTGCAGGACTACACAGGCTCTGCTTGATCAATCGCTCCCAGCACTGCTATGCAAACTCATTTGCATTTACGCTGCTATGGTGCCACCAGCTTCTGCAGGTGCCTGAAGCACAGCTCTTTGGTACTAAAGTGCAGGCGTGGAGAGATGTTCTCTACCACAAAAGCAGTGTAGCATTGTCCAGGCTGCCATCCTGGGCACCTTTGTGGCGTGGGTGGGAACGACCATCGGCACAGCACGACGTCTCAGCCTTCATGACCCATGTACTTGCGAAAATGCAGCCTCCCGTACTCCAAGGAGCCTGGGAATCCCGCACTTTGGAAAGAGGCGAAACGTACCGCGAGGACTCTGGCAGTCTGCACTCTCCCATTATCTTGCACATGCAGCCACGGCATCAGACACTGCAGGACTGTCTTGATGGATGGCACAATCAGGTCCAATCGCATGCTCTCTGCCAAGCCTCGTCCTTGTGTTTTGTGCAACTGGCCAGGTATGATTTTGATAATGGGGTGGCTGTCAAGAACAGCCAGGCTATCACGATTCCCGATTCAGTCTTTGTGCCGATTTGGGGTAGACACCTCACAACATTCCGAGCCAGATACCATGTTACGGCTGTTATCATGCACCACGGCCCACATACGGCTACTGGCCACTACACTGCAGCGCTACTGGACCCAGCAGCTGATCTGCACAGGGGCCGATGCTGGCTGTCGGATGACAATCGTCGTCTGGTTGCCCAAGCCTCACTTCCTGCCTCAGCCATGCATCAAGGATATGTGTTCGCACTGGTCAGGTCTGTCTGATCTGCCTGGTACCGACGGGGCACTTTCCTGAATGGGGCATACGAAAGGAAAGGGGGAAACGATGAACATTCGTTCATCACTTTTGACGAGCCAGTTGTCAGTGCATCACCAAACGTGTGAGGCCTCTTACTTTGCCAGACCGGCTCGCAGGCACTAGTGCCGGAGCCACTTTTACCGGGCCCCAAAACTGGGGTGCGCACTCTCGCGCCGACATAACCTATGTCGCCGTAGAAGGGACGCTTAGCGAAGCTGGATCTTTGCTGCGAGGGAAAGAAAAAAGTAGTAGTAGTAGTAGTAGTAGTAGTAGTAGTAGTAGTAGTAGTAGTAGTAGTAGTAGTAGTAGTAGTAGTAGTAGTAGTAGTAGTAGTAGTTCAGTAGTAGTAGTTCAGTAGTAGTAGTAGTAGTAGTAGTAGTAGTAGTAGTAGTAGTAGTAGTGGAAGTAGTAGTAGTGATAGGTAGTAGCAGTAGCAGTAGCAGTAGCAGTAGCAGTAGCAGTAGCAGTAGGAGTAGTAGCAGTAGGAGTAGTAGCAGTAGCAGTAGCAGTAGCAGTGCAGTAGCAGTAGCAGTAGCAGTAGCAGTAGCAGTAGCAGTAGCAGTAGCAGTAGTACTAGTAGTAGTAGTAGTACTAGTAGTACTAGTAGTACTAGTAGTACTAGTAGTACTAGTAGTACTAGTAGTACTAGTAGTACTAGTAGTAGTAGTAGTTAGTAGTAGTAGTAGTAGTTAGTAGTAGTAGTAGTAGTAGTAGTAGTAGTAGTAGTAGTAGTAGTAGGTAGTAGCAGTAGTTATAGTAGTTAGTAGTAGTAGTAGTAGTAGTAGTAGTAGTAGTAGTAGTAGTAGTAGTAGTAGTAGTAGTAGTAGTAGTAGTAGTAGTAGTAGTAGTAGTAGTAGTAGTAGTCGTTAGTAGTAGTAGTAGTAGTAGTAGTAGTAGTAGTAGTAGTAGTAGTAGTAGTAGTAGTAGTAGCAGTAGTAGTAGTAGTAGTAGTAGCAGGAGTGGTAGAGCAGCAGTAGTAGTAGTAGCAGGAGTAGTAGTAGTAGTAGTAGGGGTAGGGGTAGGGGTAGGGGTAGGGGTAGGGGTAGGGGTAGGGGTAGGGGTAGGGGTAGGGGTAGGGGTAGGGGTAGGGGTAGGGGTAGGGGTAGGGGTAGGGGTAGGGGTAGGGGTAGGGGTAGGGGGTAGGAGTAGGAATAGGAGTAGGACTAGGAGTAGTAGTGGCGGCAGGAGGAGGAGGAATGGTGGCAGTGGCATGTCTTGTTTTGTGGTTGCAGTAGTGACTGTGATTTAGCGGGAGTAGTCGTCGTGATCGCGGTTGTGGCAGTGGTGGTGGTGCTGGAAGTGGTAGCAGGCGTGGGCGGTGGGTGGTGCTTGTGGTGGCGGTGAGGCTGCACCTGAGCTGGAAGGTCTCCGATGTCAGAAGTCCGAGAGCAAACTATCGCAAACAGAAGCGGATCTTGTAAGAAGATCGGACATGTTCTAGTCTGAATAGCATAAGTCAGAATTGCAATAATCATGGTTGTCTTCATACTGTAGGTAAAAAGCAGTATGGTTTGTAGTGCACGTTATATAGTAGTCTCTACAACAACAAAACCACCAACATCACTGACTAGCCATCATCCTCGTCATTGATCATTCACCACCTTTTTTGGACGATGCTGATGATGCTGTTGTTGTTGATGGGGATCATTATGATGATGATCGTCATCGTCATCGTCAGTTCCACCATCATCACGATCATCGCCATCATCATCATCATCATCATCATCGTCATCATCATCGTGACCGTCACCGCCACCATCATCATCAGCAGCAGCATCACCATCAGCGTGAGCATGAACATGACAGTGCTGGTTTGGTACTGGTGCCGGAAATACCAATCTAAGCACTCCTTTGCCGATTGATGTCAGATACTTGGGCAGCTGCAGACGCAGTGGCTTGCGATTTGCTCCGGCAGCTGACGCCTGATGAGATTGCTGGCTTGATCGGCGGGCGAGGACGGAGGGCTACGATTGTTGCAGCAACTTATACTAGTCTGAATTCTGTATCTTCTTCAATAACATCGACTACAGCCACATCAGATCCTAGAGGCTGACAAGCACAAGCTTGATGCAGCTTTACAACATCTCAGCGGTGCAGCGGCAGGATTGCTGTTTGCTTCCGTCTCATGTTCCATATTTTTGCAAATGCTAGCTTGGAGGCTTCTGGAGCAATGGTGGCGTACCACGATTGAAGCTGCCAGCTCTGCAGATGACCGACGGCCCAAGTGGTGCTCGCGGTCCACTACCTGGGCTCGCTTCGGCCTGTGCCGGACCCAGGGGCCTAGCGACATGCTTTGACGTTCCTGATCTTACGAGCACCTGCTGTCCATACTTCAGCGAACACAATCGGGGGGCTCGCAAATGCAGAATATGTAGCCGTAGTTCCGAAACGTTGCGCGCCTGTCTTGTGAGTGTACAAGTAGTTGTTCTGTCCAGGCGTTCCGTGTGGTGCTGCCTTGGGCGCCACCTGGGACCCCGAATTGTGTCGGGATCCGAGAGCTTCGTTGGCAGATTTGCTGATGTCGTCTCTTTTGTTTTGTGCTTGGAGCAGAGGTCGGAAGATTGGCGCTGTCCTTGGACAGGAGACTAAGGCAAGAAAGAGCATCCTGCAGATTCCTGTGCTCGAGTGCATGCCTGGACACCTCGAAGGTGAAAGGTGCTCACGTCCTTTTGGGCCCAACGGTCAACCTTCAACGTCACCCGCTGGGAGGATTGCATTTGCACTTCGCGTCAGGCGGAGGCTCTAGCTCTCGCAAAGACACACGGCCCAGAGGTTCCCCCAGCGTTGCAGGACGGAACTTCGAATGCTTCTCAGAAGATCCACAGTTGAGTGCAGCGTTGGCTGTGGCGTACATCGAGGGTGTTCAGGCAAGGAGCGGGTTCAGCAACATGATGTCGTGTCTTGCGAACAAGCTCTGCTTATGGATGCTCGCTCATCTTGGCTTTGCGTCTAGTGGTAGGCTGAGCACCGAAGCAGAAGCAATAGGGGGGCGGCTAAGTTGAGTGTGCAGCGGGAGTACTAGGCAGCGCGGCAGCACTCAGCTCACATGTGCCCACGCAGAGGAATCCCGGGTTGAAGCCTAGGTTGAGGACCTTACCAAGCGAATGAACAGAGTACGGATTTGGCACAAATGCAGTCGGAGGAGCAGGCAAACGATAGCCAGCCCAGACGTTTCCGAACAATGATTGAAGCCGTTGCGCGGGAGTGCCTCATTTCGGGCAGTCATTATGATAAACACGAAACGAAGGTTTGACAGCATATGGGTGGTTGTCAAAATTACGATCCCTTTGGGTCCCTATTATATACGGCACCTATATTTAGGGCACCCAAAAAAGGGACCTTGATGTTGACAGCCACCATATGTAGGATACTGGTCGTGACTCATCGTACATGTACTCTCTTCTCCTTGTCACCCGGCCCCACCCTTCCATTCCAGTCGTCCACTCCCTCCTTCCCCACTCATCCGCTGGCCTTCTCTGAGAGCTGTGAAATGTGAGATGTGTATCTATCGAGTCTGTTCGTCACCAGCCAACGACTCTTCGTGCGTCGACGGTCCATGACGCTCTCACCGGGCGGCTGCGCCTAAGTGCAAGCATGTGCAAGCTTTCTCTCTGCAAGTTTCCCTGACTATGCTTCCCATGAGGAGCAGGGCGTGGCATGCTGCGTGAAGCACTTGGTTGCCAACGACCAGGAGCATCGGCGCAGCCACATCAGCGCAGAGGTATCAGAGTGACTTGCCTGCTAGGGAAACCCCGGAAGAATCTCAGCAGTTGCCAGCCATTGTCCAGGTTTCTTCTAGCGTCTTCATGATTCATGATGGGTTTCCCCATCCGTTCGACACAGGAAGGCACTGCGAGAAGTCTATTTGGTCCCTTTCGAGGCCGCTGTCCAAGCCGGCTGCATGGCTGTGATGACGGGGTACAACCGGGTGAATGGAATTTTCTGCTCCGAAAACCGCTTCCTCTTGCAGGAGATCTTAAGGAAAGAGTGGGGTTTCAGAGGCTGCGTGATGAGTGATTGGACAGGAACTCACAGTGTCTGGGGATCTCTGGAGGCAGGCTTGGATCTGGAAATGCCGGAGGCACCTGGCATGTTCTACAAGGATCGCTTGAGCCGCCTTTTCCATGGAGATCCCGACGGGCGCGCAGAGATGACGAAGCCCCGAGCGCTGGCTGTGCTCAGAGTGATGGCACGGCTAGGCTGGGACATTGTTTGGAGCTGCGCCTTGTGCCAAGTCTTGGCTGCTTTTCTCGCGTCTCTGCGAGGTCTCCAGCCGGGCATGCACACTCCCGCCCCAGCGGTCTCGCCTAATTCACCGGAGCTGCGCGAGCTGCTGGCGATTGCCGCCGCCGAATCGGTTGTGCTTCTGAAGAACGGATCAGGCCCACCATCAGGTGGGCCGTTGCCGCTGAGCCGTGGACCTGTGGCCGTACTCGGGCCCAGTGGCCGTCGCTTGACAACGCAGGGAGGCGGAGCGCAGAATTGGCAAAGAGACAGAATCGCAGAATGCGTGTGCTTTGGTTAGTTGCCTTGTCGCAACGGCCTCTGCAGGTGGAAGTGCAGCAGTCGAGGAGAACCTTGGTTCCGTTAATTTAGTGGAAGCACTGCGACGGCGGCTCGGAGAACATGCTGTTCAGTATGTGCCTGGTTTGCACTCCGAGTTTCGTGGGCGCAGACTTGTCGCCCGAGGGCCCATCCATACATGTCTATACCTAAGTCCGAGACTGCGTGCACGTCCCAGGGCCGGGGAACGGATGCGGCGACCCGGCTGCTTCCGCCTCCTGATCCTGCCGAGCTTCGTGCAGTGCAGGGTGAGGGTGCTTCGATTCCGCAATTCATCAAGACGGAGATACAAAGCCGAGAGCACAGCACGTGGGAGCAGAACATGCTACTGTAGTGCATGATCCCCATGGCAGCATGGCATGTAATGACGATAAGTTGCGCAGCTATTTTGAAGTCTGTGAAGGGAGGGTACGACCGGGGCGAATGCAAGGTTTGCTGAAGGCCGAGTTCGTGGAGACGAGCTCCTGGCAACAGCTTCCAGATGATCGGCCTGCTGCCATCTCAGCGGCCATCCGTGCCTTGAACTTTGGCTTCTTCACGGGGATTTTTTACAATCAGGACCCCCCATCCCGAAAGTTCCGGCCTCGAGGGCCCTGGGCCGTTCGCTACCGCGGTCAACTCACCTCTCGGCACACGGGCAGACATCAACTTAGCCTTGCCGGCACTGGCCGATTCCGTTTGTTTGTGCGCGGCCAATGCCTCATCGATGCAGTGGGAGCCTCGGACTTGATGAGACGAGAAAAGCAAAATGTTTTCATTTTGCGCTACAGTGCAGTACATCAGTACATCATCGCGCTAGAGACGTCTCTTCCGGATGCGATCAGGAGACGGCGAGAGCCTGGAGATGGGGGGTTTTCTCGGGGATTTGGGAACGGAGCACCGCACGGAGCTGGAGCTTTCGGGTGGTGAGGGCGTGGAAGTCTGCGTCCTGTGGGCTCCCGGACCCATCCGGCCTTCGCGGCTCCACCTCGGTTTTCGGCAAAAGCCATGGGCCTCCGAAGCGGAGTTGCAGGCCGAAGCGGTGAAGCTGGCGCGCGCAGCGGAAACCGCGGTGGTGGTTTTGGGGTCTCCAGGCCAGGACTCCGAAGGCCGCGACCAGAGCTTCGAAGTCTGTGGCCTGGAGCTCGTGCGAGCCGTGGCCGCGGTACAGCCCCGGACGGTCGTGTGCCTGAATGTGGGATCAGCCAAGCAGCTGCCGCCAGAGCTTCTGAAGCTGGCGGGGGCGGTGCTGGTCTGCTGGCTCGGTGGCCAAGAGGCCGCAGAGGGCCTGGCCAGGGTCTTATGCGGTGAGGGCTGGGGACCTTCGGGTCGGCTGCCCGCGACCTGGCCCTACAAGCTGGAGGACACCGTGATCGGCAAGGGCTTGCAGCGATACCCCGGTGTTGGAACTCAGGTCTTCTATTCCGAGGGTGTCCTGCTGGGACACCGCTGGTTCCAGAGCCAAGGCATTTCACCTCAGTTCTGCTTCGGCCATGGCCTCGCCTACACCAGCTTCGAGTACTCAGATGCAGAACTCAGAGAACTGCGAGGTGCAGTTAACCCTTTCAACGTCCCGCCATCGCCCCTCTCTCCTCGTCGTGTCGCAAGAGTCTTGGCCTGGCAGGACCCGGCGGAGGACCCGGCGGCGGAGCAGCGCTCCGCACCTTCGAGCCGGAGGCCGAGCTGGAGCTGGTGGCCCGGATCCGGAACTCCGGGGCCCGCGCGGGCAAAGAGGTCCTCCAGGTCTTTGCGGCAGCCCGGCTTTAGGCTTTGCTTTTACCCAAATCCTCTAGGCCCCCCCTTTGGGCCTTGAAGCTTGAAGCTCAACCAAAAAGTTCAGAGTCTAGGACTAGGAGTCGGAGATAGTCGGAGTCGGAGATAGCTCTCAATCCAGAAAGCGCTAACTGCCAACTACAGTTAAACGGGTTGCGCGCCCTCCGAGAGCCTCGGCCGCCTTGGGCCCAGGAGCGTTTTGACGGATCCGGTGACGGAGCCCGCGGAGCCCGCGGAGCCCGGCCCTGGCGGCTCCTGCTTGGCAGCTCGGCGACGAGGGAGGGGCACTCACCCCGCCGCTTCGAGGGTCGAGGGTTAGAGTTTGGGGTTGTACAGTATAGGGCCTTACGGCGCGGATTCACGAGGGGTTGGTGGTTTTGGGGTTTAGGGGTTTCAGGAGGCTGAGCGGCTTTGGTGGTTCGGGGGGTTGACACATTAAGGATTTCAGGTTGACGACGGACTTCTCAGGGTGGGCCAGGGCTTGGGAGTTGAGCAGGATTTCGGGTTTTGATTTTGGGGCTTTGCGAATTCGGGGGAGAGTCAGAGGTATGTCGTGTGTACGTGTGTCTGTGGGTGTGGCCAAATGCTGCCACGGAGCTTGTATGCGCTGGAGTTTCGGGTTTAAAGCTTAACGGTTTGCTGAACCTCTGCACGCTGCAACAGCGGAGTCGAAACAGATAGATTGAAGCCAAGAGCAGTTCATGAAGATTGTGAAGACGGGTTGCACATCCCAAACCTGTCAGAAGCCCAGGCTTTACAAAGGTGGCATTGCATCCCGGTGAGGCACAAGTGGCAGTTCCTGGGCACAGAACAGCAGTGTTTAGTGACCGAGCTCCATTCATTCCCCTTCGAGGACACTCCGGGTGATGCAGGTTTGGGCTTCGATAGCTTTACAACCACATGTCACAAGTTCAGCGTCTGCATCGACCTGGGTTCTTGCAAGGCTCCTGCCTGTTGAAACTTAAGATCTTACGGACAGTCTGCAGGTTGCCAGACCTAGACCGGTGTCTGGAGTCTCGAATGCTCGTACGTCAAAACTAAAAGCTTTGCGCACTGGGTTAACCTTCTCTTTCGCACCTTCCCTTTTCATCTGGATTCATCGTGGTTTTCATGGTATTCCGTGCTTTGTCGGAGCAGCTCAGGCCGTCAAGTTCCTGGCTCGGGAAGCCACGCGACATTGGTGCGAGATAAAGATGCCTGGCTGACAAGGGTTAGTGCGGGACGGAGTACAGGTCTGTCAGGACCGTTACTGGTTGTGTGCTTGCCTCGTGTGCGTGTCGTGACCAGGCGCACTTGGGTGGTGGAGCCCTGCTGCGATGTGCTGATTGCATCGTCCGGGGAGGAGCAGTGGCGAACCGTGCTGCGAATTGCTACCCCTGCCACTGCATGAAAAAGTGGGGGGATCGCTGAAGCCAGTTGGAGCCCAACCGGCTCACTTTGTGAAGCTTCTGGCTTCTACAGTCATCTCGCAAACTTATTGCAGTGTCTGCACGGGCCCGAACAGCTTCCGTTTCGAGCTTGTGGTACATCGCACCCTTGTGACTGTGTAGAATCGCTTGTGCATCCTTTCTCATCCATGATCGAAACTGTGTTGCTTCTATTGCTGCAGCTGCTGCTAATGCTGCGACAGCCTCCATTGCCAAACTAGGACCATTACTGTCTATGGGTCCATTACGTTACTGTTGTTGTTCATTCCTTTCCGATCGCTGGAGCTTGATGCAAAGGTCGGAGCTCCGGCGGCTTTTGCTTCCGGCTTCAACGGGCCTGGCCAACATGATGCCCTCTCCCGAGCTTGTCGGAACTCAGCAACTGGAACCATCAGCGTGATTGTTACGATCATCAGCAGCATTATCATTGTCATCATCGGAGAGATGCTGTTGAGGGCGGGTCCATGGCAAGCACTGCACCTTCGGCCACAGGCTTGGGCCCCCGGCCACTGCGGAAGAGCCGCCCAAAGCAAAGGAATCCAAGGAAGGCCGGCCAAGACTTTGCCTGTCTTTGTGGATCAGTGTATCTGCCGAATTGAGGTGTTTGAGAGCTCAGTCATGGAATGCCGGAGATCATATTGGTCTGTGGCCATCCGCCTTGAAACATAGTTCACGTTTGGCATGAACCGCTGGTATCTGGTATTGGCGATTATCCCAAGCTCCGGTTACCGACCCATGCAGTTACCCTCAAGATCGGAGACAGCTTCGTTGCAGCTGCCTCGGCTTTCCATGGCTGCCCCGAGCAATAGCGAAACAGGGCAAGCCATTTTGGGCATTGATCCTTGAATCGAAGGCTAATGGTTCCTGCGTCTAGGTTGGAAAGCTGTGATGGAAAAGTGCGTGTGATGGCACGATGAACCCACGCAGCCGAATGTGGCCCAGATACAGGGGTTGCAAGCGAAGTACGTGCGGGAGAGGCCGCTACGCTTCTGTTGTATTTGCGGGAACGGAACTTGCTTGCTTCCCATGCTTGCTTAAGTAACGGCTCAACAGAGACAGATGCACACTTGCAGGCGCGGACTAATGGACAGGCATGCAGGAAGACGATTGACTGACAACGACCGAGAGGCAGATGGTGCAACAGAGACAGACAGCGACACCGACACGGACACGGTGAACAATGAGAGAAAGACACACGGCAGATGACACGCAGACACACGCAGACACCCTCAGACACACAAAGACACGCAGAGACACGCAGAGACACAGACACACACACCAACACAGATGCACAGACACACAGACGCGGACACAGACACAGACGCAGAAAGGCGCAGACAGGAAACAAACTGGAATGCACACACGGTCCTACACGGATCCCGCCACGCATGCATGCAGGCGTGCAGGCATGCATGCATTGCAGGGCAGTGCATTGCATTACATTACATTAGATTGCAGGTCACTGCATCATGCTGCATGAAATTTCAACGCATTACATTACCTTACATTACTTCATACATCTTTGTCTAGGCGCAGCACGATGCGTTACACTACCTTACACTACATTGCCTGGCATTACGTTACATTGCAGCACGCTGTAACACAACACTGCATTCAAACATACTCCCATTCATGCCTTGCATGAATGCATGCATGCATGCAGGCATCCTTACATACACTATGTACAGTAGGCTGCACTGCGTTAATGTGGCGGTCGGTTTAGTGATAGGGTACCCCCCCCCCCCCCGACCAAAACTTTTTGGTCTCTTTAATTTGGTACCGGTAGCCCCGGACAGGGGTCAGGGGTCTGAGTGGCAGGGAATTGGGAGGTGCCGGGGTTTGGGGGCTTGGGTGCAGGGTCTGCGGTTCTGCGCGACTGCGCCGTCGTGGGTCGGGGGGGTCTGGGCCAGCGCCTGAAACCCTAAACCCTGAACCCTAAACCCTAACGAATCCTAAACTCCTAAACCCTATAACAAACCCTAAACCCTAAGCCCTAAACCCTTCCAAAGGGGGGTCGGTCCAGATTCGACCCAAAACTAAATTTTTTATGCAAACTTTAGTACTGGAGAGGCCTCTTTTGAGCTAGGGTCCAATCCCCCCCCCACTAATCAAGGTATACTAGAATAGTACAGTAGTAGTACAGTAGTAGTATAATAATAGTGCAGTAGTACAATAGTAATACAACAGTAGTACAGTGGTAGTACAATAGTAGTACAGTAGTAGTACAATAATAGTACAGTAGTACAATAGTAGCACAATAGTAGTACAGTAGTAGTACAGTATTATACGATTATAGTACCGTAGTACAATAATAGTACAGTAGTAGTACAGTAGTAGTACAATAATAGTGCAGTAGTACAATAGTAATACAACAGTAGTACAGTGGTAGTACAATAGTAGTACAGTAGTAGTACGATAATAGTACAGTAGTACAATAGTAGTACAGTAATAGTACAGTAGTAGTACAATAGTAGTACAGTAGTACACTAGTAGTACAGTAGTAGTACCACAGTAGTACAGTAGTACAGTAGTAATACAGTAATAGTACAGAAATAGTACCAATAAGCAAAGCATAAAGCCAGTGAGCACATTCCCCCAATAAGCAAAGCATAAAGCCAGCGCCTGAAACCCTAAACCCTGAACCCTAAACCTTAACAAACCCTAAACCCTAACGAATCCTAAACTCCTAAACCCTATAACAAACCCTAAACCCTAAGCCCTAAACCCTTCCAAAGGGGGGTCGGTCCAGATTGGACCCAAAACTGAATTTTTTATACAAACTTTAGTACTGGAGAGGCCTCTTTTGAGCTAGGGTCCAATCCCCGATTCGGCGGTTCACCCTAGCAGCCCCCCCCAATAAGCAAGGCATACAGTAGCAGTACAATAGTACAATAGTAGTACAGTAGTAGTACAGACTCCCATTCCTGACGCCCCAATAAGCGAAACAATTCTGCAAGCGATTTTGGGGCTTCAGGGCCAGGGTTTTAGGGTTGGGTGTGGGTTTGGGTGGGGGTTTAGATCGTGGCTGCCTTAAGATTGACCATCAGCAAATAGCACAGCCCCGCCACCAAAAAATCCCCCCAGCCAAAAAAAGACGCATTAATTAGACCACCCCCAAAAAGGGGCGACCGGTCGGAATTAGCCCCGGAAAAAACGCATTAAAAGAGCCCATATTCCTAAACCGACCGGCACATTAGACTTCACCCTATGCGCTGCACTACACACTACACCCTGCATGCTACTCACTAGACAGTGAACACTGTTCACCAGACGCTACAAGCTACACACTATGCACTCCATACTACACACTACACACTGCACAGGAGACAGGACACACAACACTTCACGCACTACGCACCGCACTACACGACATTACGTGATCATATGTGACATTGCATTGCATTGCGTTGCATTACATTGTATTACAGTGTGTTGCGTTGCATTACATTGCGTTGCATTACATTGCATTGCATTACATTGCATTGCAGTGTATTGCATCCCCTACGTTGCATTAGCAAACACTACAGCGCAATGCATTGCACTACATTACGCTACATGACATTGGACATTACCTCACACTAGTTGCAATACTGGGAGGATGCAGTTCATAAGTGCATGCACTTAGAGACTTAGATGCTATGCATGTAGCTACGTGCATCTACCCATGTACGTATGTATGTATGCATCTATGCATGCATGTATGCATGTATGTATGTATATACCTATGTGTATATCTACACATTATGTGTATGTGTGTTCCTATGTTATATCTGTGTATATATATATAGGGTATTTATACGTATACACATGTACAGTATGGAATATATGTGTTCATGCACGCATTGCAGCTGATGATTTCGCAAATTCATCTGGTTGGAGTTATCCAGCTTGCAGTTTGACGATTGAACGGGTGGTATCAACAAAGGATCGCAATGATGAATGCGCATGTAGTGCAGGAGCATGCAGGAATCAAGTAAGTAACTTGTTAACATAGCCGGAATTGATTGCTACCGGGTTTTTATCCTCACTGTATGCAACAGGTCGGTTTCAAAGGCTTGAAATGCAGCAAACCTCGCTTCGAACTGCTACAGGGAAGTCCTGGATTTCCCATGGTGCTGCAAGCGTACCTTCCCAAAAGCTACCAAGTTGTTTCCGTGCCTTCAACTACAACGAAACGCATACGTATACGTATGTGTATACATATGTACTAGTATGTATATACATATACCTACGTAGAGGCCTGTATTTATCATATATATATATACCATATATATATATATATATACATATATACGCATACATGCATATATATATATATATATATATATATACACACATGCGCACGAAAGCTAGCTGCGTTGAGCTCGCGGGAGTTATCGTTTACCAATTTACCTAAGTACTAGTGACCCGGGAAAAAATCGTGTCTCTGACTAGATCGGGACGGACCCCTCCCCGCTACGACGCCAATGACTGATTCAGAGGAACTATAAGGAGGGCCGCTCTCCCCCTCTTTGGCGTATCCGCTCATATGTTCACGGATCCTGAACAGCCACAGCCGCTTCGAGGCCAGGTTCCCCAGTGGAATTCCAAGCCTGGCCCCGAGATGTTGCGAACGTGGGTTCGGGGCCTGTTTCGGTCCTTTGGGGCTTTTGGTAGAGGGTTGCAGGTTTATGGTCAGCCTTGCAATTTCATGGAGTTCAGGGGATTTCATGGGTTGAGCAGATTTCCCGGCAGCTGCAACTGTTGGAAGCTTGAAGGTGCGAGCCAGCTCATAAGACAGAAGCTGCATCATGATCCTGGTCTGCCAATCGATGCCCCCTGCCGCCGCTGTGAAGACCCTTCCCGAGGTGACGATTTCTACATAGGTGGTGGTGGAGACATGATGGGTGGGACTCAGTCTCTGCAGCGGCCCGAGCCAACAGTCTTGGTGGCTTGTCCGTTGTCATGGACCATCCATGGGTCTGTTATGCTGTGTGTACACACCGATCCCGAGCAAACATTCCCGACCCGACAGTTTTATATAGGCTTCATGGCTGCTCAGGAACAGCCCGAAGGTGACCTACATCAAACCTGGAGGAATCGCTTATGTGCGGCACCCAGCAGCCCAGCTACACCAAAGCCATGGTGATGATATGATGATGATATGACGATGATGACGATGACTTGCGTTATGATTGCAAGCCAGCCTTGAGCCTAGCCTGAGCAGTAGCAAAAGTATTCTTTCAGTGCATCCCAGTCGCAGGTGCGGCTGCGGCAGGTGCTGCATTCTGTGATGATTGAGTTGCAAGCGGTACGTGTCGTACAGTTCAATTGCCCAGCACTCCTGCACTGACATGATACGGCGGCAATCCAGAGTGCCCAATAAACCATTCATTCATACGTTGCCATGAAATTTGAGCGAGCTTGCCAGCCGCGCCACTTAGGGGCAGGGAGTGCGCGTTGGCGACGAGGTCGTTGGCAGCTTAGTACTGGCCAGGTGCAACCATTCATTATGTTTCAGACCGCAGTTTGAATCAATCGTGGCTGGCATGGCTTGCTGCTCAACTGCTGAACCTCTCGCGAGACCGGCGCGCAGAAAGCCGACGTGAATGTGCTGTTTTCGGCCACTTTTCAGCAGTTCGATGCGTTGGGTATTTCAGCTGCTACACAAGCCTTTCCCAGCTAAGGCGCGTCAACCCTGTAACCTGTGAAGCGTCGGAAACCACCCAGGAAGGACAGCTCCGGAGGATGGAGAATGTGGACAAAGTGTTGAAGAAGATCTCAGCTTCGAGCCTTCGGCAAAGAGTTGTGTTTGCATGTATACACGCATGTTCCTTCAGTCCTAGTAGTGCCACGGGGGGGGGGGGGGCCTCGGGGCCTCAGAGGGGTCTTCGAGCCCTGAGGCGCTCCCCCCCCCGGAATGGTTCTTAGCTTGGCTGGGGTCATTGCTTGGGGTCTCGCACAATCTGGTCGCGATCGCTGCATCAATGCTCAACATCATTAGTACATTGTTTCCTGTAGTGATCAGACTCTGTCTTTCGTTTGTTGGACGCTTGAAGTCTTTAAATTTGAGTTTGAGCTGCGGGCTGCGGTCAAGTCAACTATCCGCGAAAACAGCTTGAGGCTGTAGAGTTAGGGGCCTGCGGGTTTCGGAGTCCTACGGCTCGATGAATCCAGCCAAGCCATTCAGTTTGCCAAATTCCAGTGCCCCCCCCCATGTGAGTCCTAGACAGTGCTCTTCCTACTTGCAAGGCTGGTGGAAAACTTGCATGGTAGAGGTCCGTGCTCAGGTAAAAGGCCCCCACACCCGCAACACATCCCGCTCCTCCCTTAAAGCCATGCCTGCCAGGAGCGAAATCAAAGGTGCCGAGGCTGGACTTCTGACTTTGCGGTTCGAATCGCAGGGTCTTCACAGGCTTGAAGGTTTATCCCCCGGGTTTTATAGGGTCTCGGGTTTAGATTCTAGATTCTTGTTGTGTTTCACTGTATTTCTTCGTGCGATGGGCAGGGGCTTATGTTGCCCAGTGGAAGAGATGGACGTTTTCGATTGACTGGCTTTCGGCTTTCATAGTCCGGGTGAGACAGTGTTGCAGGGTTTTCTGTGCAGAACCCAGTCAAGGATGTTGATTTCCTTTGAACGCTTGATCTGTGTGGCAGCACCTGGTTGTTGAGTTTCGCGGCGTGGACAGATGGATGCTGTACGCATTCGATGACAGTTACCTGCGCCTTTGTTTGTTGCAGAACAAAGAGTCTTTACAGTGCAAACAAGGGCAGCCGCGCAAACTGATTTTTGCGCTTGGCACGGAGTTCACGTGAACATCTAGCCGATTGCCCAAGCTGGCGATGAGCTTCAGCTTGGTTGCTCTTGCAGTCCTCGCCCGGTTTGATCATCGAGTTCCGTGCGAGGGGAACCGTCGGTTGCTCAGGCTTCGGTCAGCTTTGGACAGCCACTGGAAAAGTCGCCAAACTTCCAAAGGTCCAGCCGGGCGAGCCCGCCCCCGACTTCAAGTTGCCAGCCAGCACCGGGGGTGAGGCCCTGCGGCCCTGCGCTGAATCCTAGGGACCCGCGCTGATTTGAGCCCTGGCCCAGCTCTCCCTGAAAGAGCTCCTCGAGGGCAACGAGCATGGTTCCGAGATCCCTGCGAGCTCACTCTAGGCCCAGGCTGTCACTGCCAGTAGACGAGGTATCTGGTGATGTTTTTCCGTCCCTCCAGTCGCTTCAGAGGCCTGGAATCCTAGAGTCCTAGACTGCATGCTCTCAGCTTTTTGAGTCGAGACTTTTACAGCGCCGACGCAGGTGGAGGCCTGGACGAGGTCAAGGCTGCTCGGGAGGGTTTCAGACTTCGGAGAGCTTACCCCCCGCGGCAAGCATCCTTCTCAAGAGCTCTCCAACTCTCATGACTCACCAATTAGTGCTGCCCGGCCGTGACTTATTCGAACTGTCGAAGTGCTCGCTTCGCACGACGTGCTGTCGAGAAACAGTCGCACCTCTGCAGCTTTCGTTCCCTGGCCTGGAATCAAACAACTGCACTCCCTGTCCCAGTACTTCAACCGAGCGCAGAAGGCTGGCGGCCCAGCCTGACGGGGATGTGAAAGCTGTTTTTGAAGAAAGTTAATGTCCAACATCTTCGTTTCTCGCAGATAGGACATGCAGAGCACTCTACTGCATCGCCCGTCATGGCTGTCTCGGGCGGGCTTTGAGGCTCTGGCAGAAAGAGGAGCGACCGTCGTCGGAGTCCGGCTGCAAGTTTTCGACTTCCTGAAGGGGGAGCTGCCAGGGTGATGACGGCTGTGACGGATTGCGCAAGTTCTGTCTTCATGCTTCTGCTGCTCTGTGGCACTGTGGCTCTGTGGGACCCTGCCGTGTTCTGCCAGATACAGCGGGAGCCGCTCAAGGCGCTCCAAACGCGACTGAGACTTGTAACAGTTCGGTGGTTTTGGATGCATGTACACTTGGAAGGCTGGGAGAGTGGATGGCAGTTGATGGGGAGTCTGGCCGGGGATGTGCAGATTTGAATACGTGCTCCAAGGATCCAGCTCTCGCAATCGTAGTTTTGTCAGTTTCGCAGTTTTTGAAGTTGATATGCTTCTGCTGCTGAACTCTTGATTGGCCCAGCCTACGCCCGAAACTTCAGCACCGCAGAAGCGCTTAAGATCACTCGACCGGAAGAAGGCACCCAAAAAGTAATCGTCTGAGCACCAAGCGTAAAGCGGGCTCTCGGACCAAGGCAGTCTAAGGGCCTCGACCTTAACTTCCCGTTGCTGTGCGACGTGAAGGGGGAGGCGGGGGAGGGTGAGGCTTTTCTCACTGCTAAGGTCGCTAGTAAGGTCGCTTAGGGTTTAGGGTGTCATGCGTCAGATGTAGGATCAGCCAAGACAGAATAGCAACAACTCTATTACGATGCATGTCTCCGCCCCTTCACAGCCATTGGTGTCATCAATTGAAAAATGATCTCCTATCATTATTGACCCTCAGAAAGATTCAGATTGGCTGACTCGGAAGTGTGAATGGTTGCAGCGTCCATGGCTTTCCATGCTTCGGAGTCTGTTGAAACAAAGCTCGTGTTGCCAGCAGGTTGCGAAACTCTACGGAGCCTATATCGAGCTGGAAGAGCAAGGCCACTCGTTGGGGAAGGGTAGGGTGCTAGGACTGTAGCTTCTGAGCTTCGGAGCTTTGCCCCGAAAGCCCATTGGCCTCTTTGGCCCTCGTTGTCTCTCTAGTGCTCCAAGCAGCCTGCAGTGCCCCAACGTGCACTGTGAGCAGGTCCTAACACAGACCGAAAGACCTTCATTATAGGCAAGGACGGCTTCGTCAAGGTGGGCGGGCTGACGAGACCAGTTACTGTTTCAAGCTCCACAGCGGGGGCTCCCTCACTGTAGCTTGTCCCCTTGCTGACAGACCGCCTTCGTCGCTGTCGGGTACGATGCCGACAAATTTGCGCTCCAAAACCACGTGGCAGATGCTTTGACCTGAGGCAAGGAGAGGTTGAACCCGTCCAGACGCTAGATTCACGTAGATCTTAATGTCTGAAGCGCCAAGTCTTTCCGAGTCCGGCTCTGAGGTCGTACGGGTTCTGGGCCCGAAGCTTGGCCTTTCCAATCCTTCGCGGCCGACCTCACCCTTTTTTGTGCTGCATCAAGCTCAACATCGCGAACCCGAACCCGAACCTTCATGGAACCCCCCGCCCGGGATCAATGCCTGACAGCCTGAGGTGGCGATCCCAAGAAGGCGAAGGAAGACATCCAACCAAAGCCGTGCTTCCCAGACAGGGATGGCTGCAAGGGATCAAGGATGATCTAGGCATAGATATTCACACAGGCAAGTTCAGGGAAGTCCGGCCCTTTGCGTGTAAGCTCCGGGACCAAGGTCTAAGACTGTGGGAGACATGCTGGACATCGCATTCGGCGTGAAGAAGCCCAAGCTGTGACGGGCCAGGCCTCGAACCGCAGGGTGTTTAGGGTGCACTGTCATCTCGAGCTCATTTAATCCGCTTGGCATGGGGCTGAGATTGCAGCTTCAAAAACCATGAAACGGACTCCTAGAAGCATCGTGCGACAGGTGTGCGCAGAAGTGTGACTGAAGTGACCCATGCAAGCACGTTTGGCAGGACATCTGAGGTGGCTCGACGGTCAGACAGCCGACAAATTGTTTTTCAAGCTGTCTCGCTGTATCTGTTTCTATGCTTTTAATAAGGAAATCCTGCGCTGGGCCTCAGTGTGGAGATGGACATGTGGCCTCAAACACTACCCGAAGCTCGAAATTTGTTCACGGAAGCTCAACATCCCGGTAGCTATGAAGGATGATCACTGCCATTGCTCACTTCAGAAAGGAGAGCCCTTGCGCCAAACCAAGAAGGCGTGCTGTGAAGCAAAGCCAAAATGTCAGCTGGGTTGTGCTTTGGGATAATTCTTAATTTCCCTTATTTCCTTATAAAGATTTATAAAGGGAACCTATTCATAAATAATTTTCAAAGGGTTTACAGCACAACCCAGTCAGCATCGCCTGGCGTGTTTAGCATGTGTACTGTTGGTATGTCTAATGTCAGTAGCATGCATGCTATCTGAGCGCGACCGATGCTTCCGTTGTTTGCAGGGGCAGACACAGAGCTTGTAATGCGATGGCAAGCCATTGTAATGCTGGCAGCAGCACAGCAGGCCTAGTAGTAGTAGTAGTAGTAGTAGTAGTAGTAGCAGTAGTAGTAGTAGTAGTAGTAGTAGTAGTACTGCTGATGGAGGAAATCTTGCACCAGTTTAAGTGGCCAAGCCAAGCAGACACCCCACGCCCCTTTTTAACATTGACCGGTGATCCTCGGAAGTGCCGTGGGTTCCAATGACAAAAATCTTGCACCACCTCCGTATCCATCATCTTCAATGTTAAAAAGGGGGTGCGGGGTTATGCTCAAATGTCGTGTCACCTGTTACTAGGTAGATGGTGCAAGATTTCCTCCATCAACCGACAGGATCCTTCTTGCTGAGATGACCAAAGTAGCCTGTGTCTTCACTCGGCTGTACCACGCTTCCTGTGACGGGTACCATCCACATGCAGACCAAGCCCGATACATGTCCAAGAATGCGATACGGCAAGCTTGTTGGCACGGCTGCTTGCTATAGGTACGGCCCAAGACCACACAAGCCGACTGTGGTTGCAGGCTTCCAGGATGCGACTATTTTTGCACTCTGACCCGGGTGCTCCACTTCGATCCAAGTCTGCTCCATGCAGCTTCGCGGCTTAGTGTAAATTCCTTACATTTCCCACAGTTAACGCTAAGTGAACGCTCAGTTAACACTCAGTTAACACTCAGTTCACACTACAGTTAACACTACAGTTAACACTGCCGAAATGCTGGGAAACCCAGCATTTTCTTCAAATGTGTATAAAAGACACTAAAACTAGCAGTTTTTCCTTTTAAGATGCGTGTATTCTGCAAAATGCTGGTTTTTGCGGCATTTCGGCAGTGTTAACTGTAGTGTTAACTGTAGTGTTAACTGAGTGTTAACTGAGTGTTAACTGTAGAAAACGCACACTATGCAGTTACACTGTGACACACCGACCCACATGGTGAGATGGTGAGGGATCGATATTGTGGCTTGTCATCACTTGCATATTGCTCACTGTGACAACAGTTTAAGGTACTGACAGGATCCTTCTTGCTGAGATGACCAAAGTAGCCTGTGTCTTCACTCGACTGTACCACGCTTCCTGTGACGGGTACCACCCACATGCAGACCAAGCCCGATACATGTCCAAGAATGCGATACGGCAAGCTTGTTGGCATGGCTGCTTGCTATAGGTACGGCCCAAGACCACACAAGCCGACTGTGGTTGCAGGCTTCCAGGATGCGACTATTTTTGCACTCTGACCCGGGTGCTCCACTTCGATCCAAGTCTGCTCCATGCAGCTTCGCGGCTTAGTGTAAATTCCTTACATTTCCCACAGTTAACGCTAAGTGAACGCTCAGTTAACACTCAATTAACACTCAGTTAACACTAATTACAGTTAACACTGCCGAAATGCTGGGAAACCCAGCATTTTCTTCAAATGTGTATAAAAGACACTAAAACTAGCAGTTTTTCCTTTTAAGATGCGTGTATTCTGCAAAATGCTGGTTTTTGCGGCATTTCGGCAGTGTTAACTGTAGTGTTAATTGTAGTGTTAACTGAGTGTTAACTGAGTGTTAACTGTAGAAAAGGCACACTATGCAGTTAACACTTATTACTCTGCCGAAATGCAAGGAAAACCTGCCTTTCCTCAATCTGTCTTACGAGTACCTCGGTCCTTGATTTCCCACAGTTAACGCTAAGTGAACGCTCAGTTAACACTCAGTTAACACTCAGTTAACACTACAGTTAACACTGCCGAAATGCTGGGAAAACCAGCATTTTCTTCAAATGTGTATAAAAGACACTAAAACTAGCAGTTTTTCCTTTTAAGATGCGTGTATTCTGCAAAATGCTGGTTTTTGCGGCATTTCGGCAGTGTTAACTGTAGTGTTAACTGTAGTGTTAACTGAGTGTTAACTGAGTGTTAACTGTAGAAAACGCACACTATGCAGTTACACTGTGACACACCGACCCACATGGTGAGATGGTGAGGGATCGATATTGTGGCTTGTCATCACTTGCATATTGCTCACTGTGACAACAGTTTAAGGTACTGACAGGATCCTTCTTGCTGAGATGACCAAAGTAGCCTGTGTCTTCACTCGACTGTACCACGCTTCCTGTGACGGGTACCATCCACATGCAGACCAAGCCCGATACATGTCCAAGAATGCGATACGGCAAGCTTGTTGGCATGGCTGCTTGCTATAGGTACGGCCCAAGACCACACAAGCCGACTGTGGTTGCAGGCTTCCAGGATGCGACTATTTTTGCACTCTGACCCGGGTGCTCCACTTCGATCCAAGTCTGCTCCATGCAGCTTCGCGGCTTAGTGTAAATTCGTTACATTTCCCACAGTTAACGCTAAGTTAACGCTCAGTTAACACTCAGTTAACACTACAGTTAACACTACAGTTAACACTGCCGAAATGCTGGGAAACCCAGCATTTTCTTCAAATGTGTATAAAAGACACTAAAACTAGCAGTTTTTCCTTTTAAGATGCGTGTATTCTGCAAAATGCTGGTTTTTGCGGCATTTCGGCAGTGTTAACTGTAGTGTTAATTGTAGTGTTAACTGAGTGTTAACTGAGTGTTAACTGTAGAAAAGGCACACTATGCAGTTAACACTTATTACTCTGCCGAAATGCAAGGAAAACCTGCCTTTCCTCAATCTGTCTTACGAGTACCTCGGTCCTTGATTTCCCACAGTTAACGCTAAGTGAACGCTCAGTTAACACTCAGTTAACACTCAGTTAACACTACAGTTAACACTGCCGAAATGCTGGGAAACCCAGCATTTTCTTCAAATGTGTATAAAAGACACTAAAACTAGCAGTTTTTCCTTTTAAGATGCGTGTATTCTGCAAAATGCTGGTTTTTGCGGCATGTCGGCAGTGTTAACTGTAGTGTTAACTGTAGTGTTAACTGAGTGTTAACTGAGTGTTAACTGAGTGTTAACTGTAGAAAACGCACACTATGCAGTTAACACTTATTACTCTGCCGAAATGCAAGGAAAACCTGCCTTTCCTCAATCTGTCTTACAAGTACCTCGGTCCTTGACACACAGTGACACACCGACCCACATGGTGAGATGGTGAGGGATCGATATTGTGGCTTGTCATCACTTGCATATTGCTCACTGTGACAACAGTTTAAGGTACGTAGTAGTAGTAGTAGTAGTAGTAGTAGTAGTAGTAGTAGTAGTAGTAGTAGTAGTAGTAGTTAATTAGGAGTAGGAGTAGGAGTAGGAATAGGAGTAGGAGTAGGAGTAGGAGTAGGAGTAGGAGTAGGAGTAGGAGTAGGAGTAGGAGTAGGAGTAGTAGTAGTACAGTAGTAGTAGTAGTAGTAGTAGTAGTAGTAGTAGTAGTAGTAGTAGTAGTAGTAGTAGTAGTAGTAGTAGTCGTAGTGGTAGTAGTAGTAGAGTAGGAGTAGGAGTAGGACTGAGTAGGAGTAGGAGTAGGCGTAGGCGTAGGCGTAGGAGTAGGAGTAGGAGTAGGAGTAGGAGTAGGAGTAGTAGTAGTAGCAGTAGTAGTAGTAGTAGTAGTAGTAGTAGTAGTAGTAGTAGTTGTATTAGTAGTCGCAGCACAAGTAGCATTAGGAGGTAGAGCACGAGGCGTAACAGAATGTAACCAGCAGGCAGTCAACAAGGCGACGCCTACAGTAAGTTTTCGCCCTTAAATAAGTCGGACGCCTCGCAACATGCTTGCCGTTTCTATGCGAAGCAGCCGAAACGTCGAACACTTTGCAGCTGTTTCTTGTTCCCGGTTGCGCGACCTGCTGCCGAAAGCCACACCCATGAGGCGCCCCGGTATCGGCATCTCACACAAACGGCCTCACCATCACGATTCGTGCATGTTACTAGACAGTTTCAAGCGGCAGTCTGGCTTTGACATATCTGGCATGCAAGCCGAACTGCGGCCGGGGGGGGTTGTCCCAACTTAGCCCATCAGGCCCGGTCGAAGAGCTCCGCTGCTGGCGCTGGCGGTCACGCGCCTTAAACTTTGCAAATTCGAGAGCGTGAGTGCAAGATACTACTGCATTGAGTTCTATACAGAAACATGAATATGTTGTCGTACAAACTGGCATGTGCTAACACACTCGAGTAAAATGGTGGTCATCATCTGCAGCAGCAAGCATACATGCAAAACCAGTCAGAACTGTGTGGCAGCGCCCGTAGACCTGTCTACAAGTTTTCATTTGTTTGAACGCTGTAATCTGACAAGTAGAGAATAGCATCGCAGAGCCAAAAGCTAATAGCACGTTGGACACATCAGAAAATCATCTGACGAGTGCGGCAGGTGGGAGCCGGGCTGGTCTGCCAATGGTCGGCGTTGAGGCCGACGATCGCAAAGTGACCACTCCTGAGTGTCCCAGGCGTCTGTTCTGGAGCATGTCGCATGTGCAGCCGAAGGTCAATCGCCACAAGTCTGATGAATATTAATGTGCAAGCCGTGCCCTGCACTTGAAGCCACGACTCGTGCTGGTAGTTTTGGTTGAGATGTGGGCCTAAAACGCACGCCAATACCACTTGTCGGGCTGTTGAGCTCCATTGCCACGCTTCCTCTGCCGGCAGACTTCCGTGCGCGTGGCTGGAGCCAACCCCCCGGGCCTGGTCCTCGTGCAAGCGAAGGGCCCTTTGTTAGGATTTCATCAGCCTTGGCATTTAAACATGACTTTGTCCGCACATAGCCAGGGTCGTCATCATACCGATGCGGTCTCAAAGAATTTATTCCATAATTTTCGAGTGTCCCGAACCTCAGCATGAATTGCTCACTCCAAGCTGCAAGTGTGGCTTGTGGCAGTTTGTGGGTCTGAAGCCTGAAATCTGCCGTTCCAGAGCTAACGTGCTTGAGGCTGCAGACAACCTGCAGTTGCCTAGACGGGAGGCGCTGAGCATGGTCACTCTGATTCATGCCAAGATGCTAGGAGCCTTCATGCACCAAAGCTTTGTGGGGACCTAGTGCGTGCATGTATTGGGATGCATGGCTACACACACAAGCAAACAAACACAGACAAATAAGCAAAGACAAACACCGGCCAACACCACACATCAGCTGCTCGACGACAAGTCAAACCTCGCCGCTTTCCCTTTGGGCTCGCCGGGTGCAGAGACCCGACGCGCCGCCAGCGCCTGGCGGTCGAGGCAGATTCTATGGCCATGCGTTGGATCGCCTTTAGTCATGCCTATTTTTCGTGATTAGGCAGAATGCCTGCAGCCATGGGAGACGACAAGGCCGGCATTCCACCGAACGGGCAGTAGGCATCTTCCTGTCCTGAGGCCCACCACTTAAAGAGTCGCATGGAAGCCGAAATTAGCGTGGAACGTTTTGATTGAGCACTGTCAGCAGGGCAAAGGTGTCGCTGCCGACATGGAGGTGATGTTCGACATGTCGAAGAAAGAGCAGGCGAAGCGCAGTCAAGAAGTTGATCCACATTTACATGCAACGGTGTGCTACTGCTAATGTAAGACCCTTCTGGTTGGGTTTGGAGCGAAGTTTCTTCAGGGCAATCCGTCCAACAACTACAAGAAGCTGCATCGGCGCATCAAGCAGGATTACAAGGCAGGGCATCCCCAACATCCCCCGCTTCTCGCCGGAGTCTACCGAGTCCACCTGTTCCGTCCGGCTGTGCAAATCAAGCGAGAGAGACTGAAAAGTAGGGTCTTCCATGCGCTGGAAGTGCTGTTCGCCAGGGTGCATCTGTTTAATCATACGCACTATGTAGCAGAATGGCGCTGTGAATATTCACCGCAACATGCTGTACAGGTCTCCACCAACAAGGAGGTCATCAACATAGAGAGGCGGAGCAGACCTGAAGATCTGACGATTGGTATACATACGAATGACTGTGCTCGCGATAGTCAGTAACTCATGTGAGGTTGGTGTCCGAAATCTGCAAGACGATGTAACATGGCCCTATGTAGGAACTGGCACTGCGTCAATGCAAGATCAATATCTTAATATGCAGACGATATACAGTGTAACAGAAGCCTTGCAACAACGGACAAGAAGCAGTCGCTCATCAGTTTTGTACTCGCCAGTGACGTCCAATAATTTATTATTCGTGTATATGTATAGGGAAATCTTGTATGCATGCATATACATGCGAAACGGCCAACTGTAGTGTGTGTGTATAATATATATATATATATATATATATATATATATATATATATATATGCATACACGTGCGCGCATGCGTGGATGGATGGATGGATGGATGGATGGATGCATGCATACGTACATGTGTGTGTGTGCGTCTTGTATGGAGGGAGGCACACACACACACACACACACGCACACAGACACACACAGACACACACAGACACACACACACACACACACAGACACACACAGACACACACAGACACACACAAACACACACAGACACACACAGACACACACAGACACACACACACACAGACACACACACACACACAGACACACACACACACACAGACACACACACACACAGAGACACACACACACACACACACACACACACACAGACACAGACACAGACACAGACACAGACACAGACACAGACACAGACACAGAGACAGACACAGACACAGACACACAGACACACGACACAGACACAGACACAGACACAGACACAGACACACACAGAGACACACACACAGACACACACACACAGACACACACACAGACACACACACACAGACACACACACACAGACACACACACACAGACAAACACACGGACACACACATAGACACACACACACACACAGACACACACACACACACATAGACACACAGACACACAGACACACACACACACACACACAGAGACACACACAGACACACACACACACATAGACACACAGACACACACACAGACACACACACAGACGCACACACACACACACACAGACACACACACACACAGACACACACACAGACACACACGAAGACACACACACACACACACAGACACACACACACACACACAGACACACACACACACACACACAGAGACACACACACAGACACACACACACACAGACACACACACAGACACACACACACACAGACACACACACACACACAGACACACACACGGACACACACACAGACACACACACACACACACACAGACACACACACACACACACAGACACACACAGACACACACACACACACACATAGACACACAGACACACACACACACAGACAGACAGACAGCTCGCACAGACACGCACGCAAGCAGACCTTCGTGTACATGTCTTGCTGGGCTCCATTGCTGAGATTGTCAGCATTTCCTTGTAAAAAGCCGCTCTTGTCTTCCTGTTGTTCGTCGTCTTACTATATGCAAGCAAGCTTCAGACCTGCAACAAAGCCGGAAAGGCTGCGAGTCGCCAACCTCGTGATCTTTGCGGGGCCTCGGGAAATGTTCACCGTCGATGAGTTTACAGCGCTGAAGGATCAGCATGGTGCGGGTTTGGGATGGATGGTTTTGGGTTTCCCAGGCCACGACTTTTCGCAGCACCCTGCACGGGGTCCAAAAGGAATGAATACATGTCCAGAGCATGCAGGACTACCTGGCAGATGGTGGCAGCATTCTCTTCCTGGTCGGTGAGGGTGGAGAAGGCCGGAGGGCAGCTGCCCGGTTGTTGTCAACAGCTTTTCGCATTGATGCCACGTGGCATGCTTGGCTTGCCAGAGTAGCAGTTCTCGTCCTGCCTTGAAACAGAGGGCTTGATCGCCATCGCTAGCGCTATTGCAGGCAAAAGCAACACCAACGTGAACTATCTTCTGGAGGAGTGGCTGGACGGAATGTAGCATTGCTGTAGGAGAAATTCCAGCCGCCGTCCCATTGATCCCCTCGATGTGGCACACTACCCAGGTTCGGTATGAGCATCAACAACGATGCTGTGGCCGACGGCCCAGTCCTGTAGTTTTCCTGGCTGGAGGTGTATCGAATGCTCGGTCTATTTTTTCACAGCATGGTGATGTACGCCCGATTGCCGTCGTTTGGTTCGCAGCCAAGCAACAATTATTCACTGCCCGACGCTGATCCCTGCACAGTGTATTGTGGCATTGCCATGTGCATGCGATCTCTCATTGCTGTTTGGTGCCTTGTGCTCTTCGGCACAGGCCCGGTGATTTGCCTGTGTAATTGTGAGCGGAGCTGTGGGGCGCAGGAACAGGCTGGTCAGAGTCTGCCAATTTTAATCCAGGACATGCCGTTCGCATCAAGGGCGCGAATTCGACAAAGCCGCTCAGATGAGATCAAAATGGCTATGTTGGCAATGTTGCTATAGGGTGCCTTGTGTCTCTCCTCGCGCTGAGGAATGCGAGCCGCAAGCCGGAGCTTTTTCTGAGCTTCGAGGCCGTCATTGGCTCAGGCGAACAGGTGCTCAATGTCACCGCAGATCAAGCGAAGATGATGATTCGGGTGGAGGAGCCCGAGCAGCCTAGCACGCGTGTAAGGGCCTACGCCTACGCTGCGAAACCCGCCTTAGGAGCTGGACGTCACCAACAAGACTCCGACAACTCCGACTCCTGATCCCAGACCTACCGACAAAATGATTCTGGATGTCGAGAACGGTATCAGGCTACGGAAATCCACACATTGCTACGCAGATGCTGAAGCCGAGTTTTGCCTCAGATTTGGGTGTGCAGGTGCCTTAGGCCAATAACGATTGGGCTACGGGACTCGGCTGTGGAGACGAAGACTCGGAATTGAAAACAGTGGGGTTTCAGGCGTGCATGGATTGGAAGGTTATTCACAATGACTCGGCGCACTCATGTTAAGCTCGTCATGCAAGGATGCATGCGTTGTGGCGAGTTTCGGTTTCGCAACTCTTTCCAATTATCGATGTCCGCCACGGGCCGGTTGACATTTGCCGCAAATTTCAGGTGATTCGGTCACATGATGTTTCGGCGACATCATCTGCTTGGGTTTGACTTACATAGATGGGCGCGTCCCGCTGGAGTCATTAGTTACTTCCACCACTTGGGCGCAAAAAAGCATGCCTCGTGACATCCGTGAAATAGCATCCCAGCATGGAAGGTTTCTCTCTGCCCTGTGCTCCAATCACAGTGGGGCAGGCACGAACACCAGCGCTTTTTCTCCGAGACAGTCTGCTACACCTTTGCGCCTCATCGCACTTTATCTGTTGCAGTGCTCTATGTCGGGTGGCAGCACAGGTTTTTTGGACGATTTCGTCAACATTTACCATGCAGGAAGCCTGTGAGTTCCATGGTCTGAACACCATGTTGAAAGCCAGCAGCCTAAGGACATGCATCCAGCTGGTGGCATGATGAGTCCGCTGATGCGGTGGAAGAACTGGTGCCTCGACTTGTTGACTCATACTCAGAGTTCCTGGAGGCGGCTGCTCTGTGTGGCGTGTGGCCGAGGCCGAAGCGTGTCGAGCGCCTCGCCACGGCAAGGAGCTCGACCGTGGTTGACGCGGCCCGTGAGGAAGATGGCAAGGAGCCCGACAACAGCTCGGGCAGCGTGCACGATGTGCACGAGGCATCGCCGATGAACAAGACGCAGTTGCGGCGCATGATGTTTGTTGAAGCTATGCTCCCCGGTTGCACTACCTGCGCTCGTCTTGTACTTGTCCCGCTGACTTTGGACACGTAAGGAGCGAGATCTTTGAAGCGCCGCTCCGCGTGTATGAAATGACTGAGCCGGAAGGCAGAGGCCTCGGAGGAGGTCATGCTCGTGCAGAGTGGCTTCAAATGGTTGTAGGACCTACGGAAACGGACCTTTGCTATTGTACTGAGGTCTTAAGCAGGTTGCTGGCCTCAACTGTACGGCGTGGGTCATGAATCAGTCGCACAGCCTGCACGTGAAGGAGATGATGCAGGCGCTTCCTGAGGAAGTTGTCCGGATGGGCGTTTGCAAAGCTCCTTCGCAAGGCGATGACCAGTGTGACGGAAGCCACGATGCTCCGCGATCTCCCAGTTTGGTGGTTCAGTTGGGATGTGCAGGCCTCCACGTGAGAGGGAGGATAGGCATGCAGATTCGCGACTAGGGACTCCATGAGAACCCACTTGCTTTAGCAAGTCTTAAGTTGCGACAGGATGCATCCGAGAAATTGCAGCTGCTCCAATCCCTGCTGGACCCCACAGGAGCTACCTTGCGCCAAGTGAGAGGGCGTGCATGCGCGTTCCGTGTGCTTGAAGGAGTTGCGACGATGTCAGCTCTTTTTGAGTTCTGCGTGACAGACTCGGGCGAGCTACTGTCTACGGAGACACAGCCAGCCGTCTCAGAATGCCTCAGAGCTACTCTCCGAAGTGCACTAGAAGGGCAGAATGAGAAAGCAGATTCCGGCTGCTTTCAGGTATAAGCTGACCTATGCGAGACAAGCTCAGAACACCACAAACGAGACAGAGCAGGATGCCGGGCTGGCGAATCAAAGCAATGCGACTGGGCGACGGGAGGAGTACGGAAGTGCTCTTAGAGCTTAGGAGAGCAGATACAGCTTCTAGTGTAGCTCGAGGCTTGAAGTCACGTGCGCAAGACAAGCTGAGGCCAGCCTGGGTGGGCCGAATGTCTTGACGCTCTTCGAGTCAGACAGCCGGACCCAACTACTTTCGCCGCCGCAGAGGTCGACCACCGGGACGAAGTTATGCTGAATTGCCTGTGATTTTCCGAAGCTCCTCTTCTCTTCTCTTCCTTTGTCGAGTCGCGAGTCCACACAACATCCAACTTTCCCATATGTGTGCCTGCCCATTGCATGATGCACGTTTAATTGGATGAAACCCAAAATGAAAGCGAAGAGCCTCCAGGCCTTCGAACCTCGTGCAGCTGAGCGCCACCTATGGCGTCACTGGCGGTGAGTGCGTGGACCTGACTCAGGCCACGGGTGGCTCGCCCTTGCGCGGGGTCCTTTCACATCTCGAACAGCACTTCTGCACACTCGCGTCTGCACGCTCAGACTCGCGTGGCGGGGCCGCGCGCCGCGCCAGGGCGACGTGGGCGAGGCGGAGCTGGAGTCCGAGGTGAACGCGGCGGAGCGCCTCGCGCGGATCAATCGCGAGACCGTCGGCCAGGGCCCCGCTGCAGGCAGCGACAGCCCGTTGTGGGTCCTGCGCCTAACTGTCGTTTCACCTCCCAAGGTCTGTGGGAGGCTGCCCCGTATGCCTTCTGGAAAGGTGTGAAGGTGGGAGATTTTGGAGATCCTGGTTTAGAAGATCGAGCACAGACGGTTGCGAAAGGTCCGTGAAATCGTGCCCTCCTTGGGCACTGAGATCGGGCCGCTCCGTTTGCCTCTGCGGACCGGCGCCAGGCATGTCTAAGTGCTCATGGCAGAGTCGCGATTGGGTTCTCCAGTGTCGCGAGGCCAGCCCAGCCGAGCCTGGTCCGTGCAGAAGTGGTGTCCGAGCCCTCAGTGCCGGTGTCCTTCGATGCTCGCGCACACTGGTCCAAGTGCAATTCCATCGGAATCATCCGAAACCAGGCAGGTCATGGCACAGATGCCTCTTCGCGAGCTGTCGTAAGCCGTGATGTCAGGGCCGCTGTGGGTCGTGCTGGGCTGTGGCCGCGGCGACAGCAGCTTGACTCCCAAACTTAAACCTTAATGCTTGGGGGTTGGTTTATGGGCAGCGACTGTGACTCCACTTCTGGAGACTGCCAGGTGATGACAGACAGATTCTGCGTTGCGGCTTCTCAGTTCCTGGGTCAAAATGACAGCGCTCAAGGCAGTCTATTGCAGCTGTCTGCAGCTCGGCGGCCATGGCGCAGGGAGGGCACCAGTCACCCACAGTTGTTAGCTTCTCTCGCTTGGAGGAGATGCAGGGCCTGTCCTTGGCTCCGGAGCTGCTCGTCCAGTGCGATGAGACCAACCATGGCTGCGGCGGAGGTCGTCTGGACGACGTTTGGCTCTTCCTGCGAAGTCACGGAGTGCCTCAGGCGCGGGGGTGGAGGGCAACTTGCAGATCCGAAAGTCTACACAATCTGGCTGCGGGCTGCGCAGGAATCCTGCGCCCCATACGAACACTGCCTTGTCCCGACACAGCGCGAATGCGACTATGACTGGCAGCCGAGGCACAGATCTTGACTGTTGTGATGCTTGTCCCACCTGTTCCAACTAACAAGGCCGACGATGCAGCTGCATTCCGAGCAGCAGGATGAGGAGCCGTCAAGGCAGGACATCTGCAGCCCTGCGGCAAGTGCGAAGGTGGGTCTAAGCAGGCTACAGAGTTGGTTGAGAAGGCAATTATAGTTCTTGATGCCTACAGCAAACCTCACCATGCTCGTGCTCTAAGGTCACGGGGCTTGTGCCGATGGCTCAAAGATGAAGCTCTTCAAGGTGGCGGAGGCGCTTGCTGCGATGCTTCCACTGGACCGCCGAGCTGCTTCTTGCACAACAGCATGCTGCAGCACTGTACCTCCACACACTGCACGGGTCGTAGTACAACTAACATGAGAGAGGACAGGCAGAAGACATCGGAACGCATTAAGGTACACAGCGAGGTCACGTGCTGCGATGGCTCAAGCTTTGCGACAGGCCTACGCGGCTGCCCGACCTCGTGACGTGGTGGGCCTCCAGCGTGAGCTGATGACACACGGCCCGGTGGAGGTGGCCTTCTTCGTGGCCCGGCTGGGTCCCATCTGAGCACAGGCGCACCCAGAAGCCTGTAACCTTTTTGAAACGACACTGTGTCAAGCAATTACGGCACACTGGCCTTCACAGCCGAACGATTGGAATTGCCAAGGTCTTCTCCGATTTCATGAGCTATAAGCGCGGAGTCTACTTCCGCACTCCAGGAGCCTTTGGTCCTTTGGGAGGCGAGGAAACCAACAATGTCTCAGGTCGGAATGGTCGGAACCAAAGAATTTCTGAGTCGGTGTTTGCTCTGGCTGGGGGCCCTGTGTTTCGAGAGCGAGGAGGGTCTGGGACACGAGCAGGCTGCTTTCCTTGCTTGTCTGCCCGGGTGCTGTAAATTCTCATGTCTCGGATTATATCTGGTTATACTCGTATCTGGTTGTCATGACTGGATACGACGGACTCTGGAATAATCACGAAAGCTAGCTCTGTGGAGCTCGCGGGAGTTGCCCTTTAGCAATTCACTTGTATTAAGGCACTAGGGAAAAACAGGGTTTGCACCTTATCAGGTGGGACGTCCAAGAGTTTTGTCATTATGCGTTTTCCACTGATAAGGTGCTTCCCTCCCCCCCCTCCTTTAAGGTGGTTGTGCCTGGGATAAGGTGGGGGGGGGGGGCCCCCCCCCATCATGAGGTCCCCCCCCCCCCCCCCCTCCTCAAGGTCCCTTGGTTTTGTTTGTGTCTGACGTTCGGCGACTGAAGTGCGGTCTTCTCTCCAGAGTTACCTCTAGTTGTCGTTCGCACATTACTTTCTCAAGAGTTAAATGAACGAGCAACGCCTGCACCCTTCACCGGCCCAAACTTTCCCTCCGCTACTGTCGTGCACATCGCTTTGCAGAGCTCAGCACCGGACCTCGTGCTTCTAGCTTTCGTGACCAGCTCTCAAGTTGATGGATGGAGAGAAGGATGTGCAGCAAGATCTTTCACATCACATATGAGAGACAAGTCGCAAGTGTTTTGAATGCACATCTTGGCTGCAGCCAGCAACTTCGAAAAGTTGGATGATACAAGGAAAGATCAGGTACTGTCCGCAGCAAACCGTGGAAACACACTTCTGTGTCTACGTACGTAGCCGTGCAGGCATGTACGTATGTACGGACGTAGGTATGTATGTCTGCAGAACATGAGGTATATTACAAATGTAGCCAGGTGCATAGCGTGCAATACAACATGCAAAAGTAGTTTCTGCCGACGTGTCGGTCCAGTACAGAATTGAAAATACTCATGAAACAGAGATGTACGATGAAGTAGAATGTGACGATACATCATAGGTGGAAACTCAATTCTGCTGCCTTTGCGGCAGCGGTCAATAGAACAGACTACCCACAACTGCTCGAGGCCACGCCGTGCGACTTCTCGGATGGGGCACAGAAGAGGTGGGCAGGAACAAAAGCTTGACGGAACTTGCTTGTGTTTCAATGTCTTTTGGTAGTGCCACCTGCGTTGACTACCTGCACAGAAACTAACAAAAAATCTGGCGGGTCAACATCCTGATTACATGAATGTGTGGGTGCTTCAAACTCCTGAATTATAGACGTGAGGGATGTGCTAAGCTTCCCGTCAGGATCGCTCGTGTGTAGCTCAGCTTTATAAGGACTTCCCAGACCTCGCAAGCTCGCGGAAGCATTCTCAGTCTCGGGAGGACTTTGGCCGAGATCCCCTGGATTACTGGCTCATTGCCAATTCCTACTCCCCGCGTTGGGGCATGCACGGCCTCTTTCGCATCCGACGTGGCACTAACGCATCTTGGATGCAACCCATTGCTGTGATGAGTGAGAGCTTTCACGCTCTTGTAGTCCTCCATTGCCGCGCTGTGGGTTGGCCCTGCCACCGTCCTAAGTTCCTGGCCGAAAGTGTGCAAGCCTGAGCGCATCAGGAATGTGGCATCGAGTCCATTCCTGCAGCTGGCACACCCGACTTGAGCCACCTTTTCCGGTAGGTGCCACCTTTCGTTGGGAGTGCGAAGCTCCATGCAAGAGGCCACTGCCACTGCTAGCTCAATACTCAGCTGGATGTCAAGCAGGCGTTGACCAGAGAGCCGTTCCGGACTTGCATGAGCATTCCATTTCCCTTGGCACTCCAAGTGGTGCACCTCTGCGGCTGACTGTCGATCGTTGCAGAGGACTTGACAGTGTACAGGCAATTGACGACCTTCCAAAACGTTCCGACGAGCAAGGCTATGCAAGACCAATGTGCAGCACGAAAAGAGGGTGTCAGCGCAACGCTCGGCACTTGCTGAAGACAGCACGAGATGCCTAGTCTTGACGAGGTCCGAACGGTTTACCACAAATACCACCACCCCAAGGCAGGGACGGCTCATTGTGCATCGATGGAGGCCTCCCGACAGCAGCAAGACGCATGCTTTTCTGCAGGAGTGCCTCATCACGCACGGCACCATTTGCCGCGACTTAGTTGGGACCCGAGTGAACCGAAGGGTCCTCCTCACGGCGAGACTTCATCCCTTAGTAGATGTACAAGGCTGCCTTCAGGGACTTCATGCGAAATTGGCAGTGACCGGTGAAGCTCGTCCCAGGTTCGAGCGGCTAACGGTGAGAAGAAGAAAGAGAAGGAAAACAATGACAAGCTTGCTCTCAACATCACGAAGGCCGGGTGCATCGATCAAGTCTTTGTCCTGAACCCAAGACTTTGCATATCCGAGTAAGGATCATCTCATCTCCAATAGTCCTGTGGCATGAGGTCTGTCTACCATAGCAAATTCTGTGCCCGCAGGAGGATGCGGAGACAGTAACCCTTGCGAAGGCTGGAGACAGTCGGCCAAACTTGGTGTATCCCAGCGAAGCAACTGGCGGGTCTTCCGGTGAGAGACACTCCGCGCGCACGCACGCCAGTGTCTGGGAGGATGACGGCGGCCTGGAGTTTGTGTTCCCTTATGGGGCAACGCTGAACGCGCAGAAGCCCGCAGTTCCCATCCTATCTTCTGGGAAGCTTGGCTGACAGCAATCATGCCTACGACGATGCGGCCTCGCATCTCCCCAGTGTACTGTGCCGCAGTACGACACGAAGCTGATGCCCTCTTTGCCCCATCTGCTTGAGGCCTATCTCATACCCGTTGAATCGACCGATCGGGGCGATTCACAACAAGGCTTCTCAGAGTTGATGCAAACCAGACACTCATCTGATGCCATGCTGCAACTTGGGTCGAACCGTCAAAGCTCACCAGGTGGGCATGGGCAGGATTTGTGTCCTCGGCTCTGTGCAGATGTTTGGGGTGCGGTGCCCAGCAGTGTTTGAAAGCCTCCAGCGCATCATTCTGTGGTATGTGATAGTACCTGTTCTCTTGCATCATCTCGCACATTGCTGTGACCCGCGGTATATTCCACGGCACATAGTAATGTGCCAAACAAACACTGTTTATAGTACCCGCAGTGACATACGCGCTCGCTCGCTCGCTCGCACGCATGCACACACGCACGCACCCACGCACCCACGCGATGGTTCTAGATGATGACACATATTTTCTGTTTACTATAGCGTTGGCGTTCCAAATGATGTTTCCACTAAGGGCAATTGAGAATCACAAGTCTTTCTCATTGTTTGCAATACAGACTGCGTGTAACCTTGGAATGGGCCGTGTAGTAGCGATGCTGCTTTTTGTGCAGACGATCCGCCAGTATGTTTAAGTTGTGATGCATGATCCTGCTGTACTAAAAGCCAACGCGCGCTTACACCTCTTCACCTGATGTTGCTGCTACTGTGGCACTTCTCGCTGTGTGCTAGTTGTTATGCATCAGCGCAGGCTGCTGTATGACGACATTCGAAGACACAAAGACGACTTGAAATGCTAGACAGTTGGCAACAGCAACACAGCTGCCCGAGGATGACTTCCTGGAATGTGAGAAGAACAGGCAGTTGATCGACACCCTGGTGCGATGGCGCCATGCTGAGCCCTGCTTACTGTCACGCTTAATCGCGTGCTGCTGTCACCTTTCTGAAGGTTATTGAGGATTGGTGACTGCGAGCTCAGCTACGCATATGGCGAGGAGATGCAAGAGCAACGGAGTACTGTCCAGTAGATTCCAGCAGCGAGCTGTCTAGAGTTTAAAGCTACGCAGACACGCTGCCTTGAGCACGAGGAGCCCGAGCTCAGCGAGTACCATCACATCCCTCACACGCAGGGACTGGCGATGAACCTCAGGCTGCCGTGGGATGCCAGGGGTGAGTCGGGGCGGCCGAGATCAAATCATGACTGGATCCCTTTGCGAGGAGCTGCCTTCAGGCCGCCCGGGGCCGGGGGCTGCGTCGCGTCTTCGAAGCTTGAACTACGGCCTGGGCCTGGATGTTAAGAAGTTTTCAGTCCGCTTACCAGCGTTTGCCTTTAGGATGGGTCATAATAACTTCGAGTTTCGGAGTGCATCGTTGGCTCAGCCAACAGAAGTAATCGGAAGAACACCTGAAGCTCTGCAGCGGGCAGCTGCAAACAAAAAGCCATGCTGGCCAGGGTCCTCCCAGGTTCTGTGCAAAGAACCAGGTCCTCCCGGGGCTTGATCCACTTGAATAGTCCTAGTGTGATTCTGGACTGGTGTTCGAAGATGCTGCCTTGGGCACCGTAAAGTCCTTGGCAGGAGAACGAGCAGTTACCGAGGGACTTTACACAGCTCTTCGATGATAGCCTCTTCAAGTTCGCTCCTGCCTTGGGACGGATCGCCGACGGTCGCTGGCTTTCCTCTCGTTGCCCTAAAAGCTGCAAGCGGCGGACACCTTAGGACACGGACTTGATCCCAGAGGCAAAGAACCTGCAACATGACATGCTTGGATGTTGCACTCGTCATTCAGCCATGTAGAACCGCTGGATGCAGAGATCAATGTCCAGTCATCGCGTGACCGCTTTTCCATTTTGCTCGAGCTTGCGACTCATTAACATACCGTACCATACCAACGTCGGTAGGGCCTCAGCTGAGCCGGTCTTTTCAGCCCATCAAGCGGCATGAAGTATTTTCTGCGTTCTTGAACGGTGCGCTGGAGCCATGTCGATGTACAAGTTGCCCAGTGTCAACTCGCCCTATGTGACTTGGATCCTTGACTGGTAGGGCCTCGGCATCTTCACGACGATTCGGGTTACACCTTCATCGCATAACTGCGGAGATTTCTTGCTGCGGTCTCGCCGATTTCTGGCAAAGCTGTTACGCGTGAGTTGGTGATCTCGGGAAGCAGATAGCTGAGGCGAGGCCATACATGATAAACCACCTGTGCTACCAGGCCCCGTGTATGTTTCTTCATCAGTTCGACTGTTCGACCCATTTATAGGTAGTTTCTGGTCAAGCCGGATTGCCCAACGGCCACGCAGGGAACGGTTCAGAACGGAGTGCTGTCCTCCTGCTCGAACTTGGAGCTTCAAGCCTCGCAGTCTCTCTGCAGGATCGGATTCGCAAGGAGTTTCACGGCTCCGTTCCTACAGAGATGCTGCAAATGATGGATGCGCCACTGTCTGAGGCGAGACATGCATTCCGTCGAAGTCTTTTTTCCCTTCGGTGCAGCTCT